TTGTTTTTGGTATCTCAGTATACACCCACTATAAGTGGAAACACATTTTGTTTTGGGACGAAAATCAAACGTGATGTCCTCGTAGACCTGATATTGAATGTTTAGTTTAAAAAAACGCTGTACGCTTCTGATTTCAACACCCTGTAGCTCAAAAACTAAGAGGTTCAGGACATATGTTGATATGAACTTCTCTCCTTAAAATCATCCAAGGATCATCGCCCTTTAGGATCAGCATTCAATTATGAAACACCCTGTATAACTGTACCGAATTTCAGAGAAATCCGTTGACGAATGCAGAAGTTACAGGGGTGGTCCGATACTCTGTGTCACCCGGTATATCTCCAAACTTTCTTTCCAAGAGATGGAATGATGATTTTCTGTCAGTTGTGAGTGTCCTCACTCTCTATAAGGCATAAAATGCTATAGTCCAGGCACTCTAGTATAAGTAATAATCAATGCACTACACTGTTTTACCACTAACCAAACCGATTTTTTAACGCCTCGACACGTGTTTCGCTAACTATGTTAACTATTCTAGTGTAATAATAGGATATTTAGTTTTAATCTTCTCCTGAAGATGATAACATAGTTAGCGAAACACGTGTCGAGGCGTTAAAAAATCGGTTTGGTTAGTGGTAAAACAGTGTAGTGTATTATCGTGCCAAAGGTTCCAGTCTTCGATATAATAATAAGGTAAGATTAATAGAACAAATGTGAAATCTGAATATGTATTTGTCCTTACATCCAGATAACAGGGTAGTGGAAGTTCTTTGTCTCCTTGTTTAATTGAACTAGCAGAAACATCTCCTTCAACTGAACTAGCAGAAACATCTCCGTCTCTTCATTCAATTGAACTATACAGGGTGTAAATTTGAAAACTTCCAATGCGAATATCTCGCGAAAGAAAAAAGTTAGAAATACGCCGTTTGGCAAAAATGCTAGAGTTAAGGGAAACTAGAACCACCATATTTCGGTCAAGGGATGAGTCACCCCGTCGACGCGACACACCCCAACTTTGAAATGTCAAATGGCACTACCTTTTTTGTGATGCCTCAAATGAACAGTCTCAGTCAGTAGTATTCACCTGTACAAGACTTTTTTTCCACCCACTACAGGGTGTACGAAAAATATAAAGTCGAATAAAATAAAATGAATGTTCAAAATGCATTCCATTCTGTTGTAAGCAATAGTATAATCGATGTTCAAATGCCATTCTAACATTTTGGAACACATCACTTGGAATATATCGGCATTCTGCATTTTATTTTATTCGACTTTATGTTTTCCGTTCACCCTGTAGTGGGTGGAAAATAAGTCTTGTACAGGTAAATACTACTGACTGAGACCGTTCATTTGAGGTATCACAAAAGAGGTAGTGCCATTTGACATTTCAAAGATGGAGTTTGTCGCGCCGACGGGGTGACTCATCCCTTTACTGAAGTATGGTGGTTCTAGTTCATCCTAACTCTGTAGCATTTGTGCCAAACGGCGTTTTCCTAACTGTTTTATTTAGCGAGATATTCGCATTGGAAGTTTTCAAATTTAGACCCTCGAATTAATGTTTTTCGTACACCATATAGTGGGTGGAAAAAAAGTCTTGTATAGGTGAATACTACTGACTGAGACCGTTCATTTGAGGTATCATAAAAGAGGTAGTGCCATTTGACATTTCAAAGTTGGGGTGTGTTGCGCTGACAGGGTGACTCATCCCTCCACTGAAATATGGTGGTTCTAGTTCCCCTTAACTCTTTAGCATTTTTGCCAAGCGGCGTTTTTTTAACTTTTTTATTTCGCGAGATATTCGCATTGAAAGTTTTCAAATTTACACCCTGTATAGAGCAGAAAGACACCATTCAACTTTCAACTTTCAAGAAATCTTGTTGCTTTTTTTCGAGCCAAAAAATATAGTGCTATTTTCCACCTGGCAGAAACGGACCCTCTTTTCAATATCCATCACGTGAGAGCACTACAAAAAGTTTTAGGGCAAGATGGTTTCCTTGAAACTATTCAAATTGTTTTAAAAAAGGTGAAGCATGGTAAGATTATTAACTGTGATATCCGAACTTTGTCTCATCGAAAAATTGAGCATGTATTTGTCCTTCTTACATCCAGATCAGTGGCGTAGCGAGAGGTGTCGGGGCCCCGGTGCAACGAGGGTTGACAAGACCAGTCCTCTCGTTTGATTGCATGGATCCATCAATCTTCTTGCCTTCTTTTAGAAACCTCACGAGTATTTATATTAGCTCCTATTGCAGAAGGAATTCTAACAGAAATGACAAAATAACTCGCTATAGTACTTCAAGATCACAATGTACCTACCTGAAAATTCGGATTCCTTCGTCTCTCTCTGCATTTTTTTGGCATTGTACAACAGCACAATGTGATATGAAGCTTGAATAAACAAATATCCCAAAAAAACACGATTCCTATGCCAAAATATTTGTGTTCAATCCACTGTGAACAAATAAGAAAAGTGAGGTTGTGTTGCAATGTTTTACCTCCAGGCTCGGTCATCTGACAGATCTTGCACGCAACCCATTGACAAACCATCCAAATCAGGGAACTCCAAAGCTAGAATACTTGGTAAACGAATTTCATGTGAAAAATGACCAAACCGCCGCATCGGAAAAAAACGTCACCAAAAAACAGAAGACGACAACCCCTCATTCGAAGTGTAAACCTCGTCGACCGCCCTCCTTACGTCAACCGCGATCGCCTTTTACCTTTTTGTTTTTATTTAAATGATCTGTGAAAAACGAGGATTGTTACGCATAAAAGAGACAGGATGATGCCAGACTCCTCACTTCTTCGTCATGATCTTCAAGTACTCCAACGCGTGATGGGCGGCCGACGCTTTAGCGTCCTTCGGAGACTTCCCGGTGCCGTAGCAAACGGCCACCGGCAAAGTGGAGAGTTGGACGAGGCATTGGCATCTGCCGCCCAACGATTTCTCCTCGATGTCCACGTAAGTGACCTCGAACGATTGCTCGGTGGCGATGTCCTGCAGGAACTGGACGAAGTTGAAGTCCTTGGCAGCGCTCACGGCGATGGTCTGGAAGAGACGACATAATATATGTATGTGTAAAATGACAGAGCACAATAGAAAATGATCAGTTATGAATATATTCGATTATAAACATAATATCTGTTACAAATATAGGATATGCTCCGTTAATCAACCGAGGTTACCAATGCTTTCAGGGCTGATACCAACAATTTCGACAGTGGTTATCTACTGGTGACTAGGGTTGTGGTTTATTTACGGAATGCCAGTCATTTGTCAAATTATATTTTCGAGCGTTTTTTGAACATACATGCTCTGCCAGTATTTGATTTCCAATTATGGCAACCAAAAGTCCCTGATTCTTGTGCAAAGTAAGCACAAGCAAGGATATAGTTGTCCTTAAATAAACAAAAAGACATCGTACTGAAAATATATCGAATATTAATAATTTACCTCAGTTAACGAATCCATCGGAACTTAAAGCAATAATTAATATTGGAAAATGATTTTCGTTGTAATTTGTGGATCGATGAATCAATCCGGAAACTGAAACTCAAACTTACCGAACTTACCAGAGGAACGGAAAACTACTAACCGAAATAACCAAGTTGATTTACGGAACATACCCATAATATAGCGGCTGGGAATACAAATTTATAGAGGGAGAGATGCAACCTAAGCAAGCTTGCGTTGTGCTATCACCGTTCCCGTTATTCTCATTATATGGAAACTATTCTTTTTCTCAAATACAATCATCACTCAAATACCTTTCAAGTTCATATTTTTTCAGAATTTTTCGGTCGATTTTTAGGTGCTAAAATCATCAATGATGCCACGGTAATTTTCATACGGCACCGTTGCCATGTGTTGAAATACGATTAGGAACTCAAGAAATATTAGTTATTCAATAATTAATTAATTCTCAATCGAATATTGGTAATATTCCTAATTAACAATAAAGATTCAATTGCCTCAAAATGTTCCCTTATGATTTGTGGCTATTGCTTATAATTTGTGTAAATAATAAGTATATCAATTCACACTAGAGGATATTTGAATCGGTGAACGTGACAACCCCGCGCACGACTTGTGGGCGTCGTCTTGTCAGTTCTCAGCATTCAGCACAATGTTGCCAAGTCTCCAACATACACATATTTTGTTATGGAGAATAAGAAATAGCTGGACATGCTGCTCGAAAAAGTCAATAATGAACTATAATGTCACGAGTTCCTTCTATTGTGTTTTAGTCAACGACAGGACTCGTGACATCTTTTTGATAACTTGATTATAATTGGTGACTTGACAACCTTGCTTCATGAGTGGAAATGGAAGATTATCTGACCAATAACGAAACAGCAAAAAAACTAACGTCACCATTTATTCGATGTATCGCCAAATGGCCGCCATGACGTTACGTTTGAAATGAGCTCTGAAATTCAACGTTTTTGAAAATCGCATAGACTTATTATTTACATAAAAAAAGCGTGAGAAGTGATGCAAAAATGAATTTAGGTTCCTAACGACACAGTGGAGTAATAAATGCCAATGATTCATTACCAGTCCAGTTAGCGCTCATAATTAATTTTTTACATTCACATCTACGATTTGCTGGGAGTTGGAACTACTCAAAATTTCAGTCAGAAACTCTAGAACTCCATCAAATGTACTCAGAACTAAAAAACAAAATGGTTTTCAACAAAAACGGTACATGAGTCCGAACGTCCATATCTCAGTAATCATGAAATCATGAGGGCTATCCCTGGTCAAGCGTTGTCGGTCGAATTTCGAAACAAAACATGAAGATCTCTCTGACACCACGTAAGATACACCAACAAAATGTGGGTTATGTATATTAGATGGACCTGCGATTTTAAATGTTATATTTCCAACGCTGTCAATTATACAATTTCTGAGATAAATGAACAATATGTTCATTTTTAAATGGGACAACCCGTATATATTACATTCTACATACAAACTGTTATTTGCCAATATTGAAAAGTCAATGTCAGTCAAGAGGTCTGATCTTAATTAATCAAAAATGAATCCAAACAGTGAAAGTACGAGCAATATATTTATGCTGGATGACAAGAATAAAGACGAAGGTTCTGGAAGTTTGAAAGACGTTTTGAAACAATATGATGCTTCAATCGAGCAAAAACCAAGCAACGAAGAGAATGAGGATATTGTAATACCCACAGATAATAAACAAATTGATGTTGAAGAAAATATTGCAAACGTTGATGCTAGAGATGACAAGAATAAAGACGATGGTTCTGCGAGTTTGAGAAACGCTTTGAAACAATATGATGCATTAATCGACCAAAGACCAAGCAACGAAAATAATGAGGAAATTTTCATACCTACAGATAATGATCAAATTGATGTTGAAGAAAATATCGCTGATGCTAGAGATGATGTTAATGCAGGTAGTGAAACTGATGCTAATATTGAATCAATTGCCGATGTTAAGCTTGCTGATGATCTTGATGACGCTGTTGTCAATGATAAAAATGATTATTCGAATTCAAAAGATAGTACTGATGCTAATGCTGATATCAAAAGTGAAGTTGTAGCGGGCGATGATAAAGATCCAGCTTCAACTACTATGGTCGACAATGCCCGTTCTGATGCTGATAGTTCTGATGAGAAGGAGCCACGAAAAAGAAGTCGTGTGGAGGAATCCGAGAAAGACAATTTGGAAAATATCCAAGTGGAAGATGAAAGTCAACAGAGACCATCTACTGAAAACAACCTCAAATCTCCCGATAAACACGAGAATATATCTGAGGAGGAATCTTCAGGATCTCTAGAATCAGAAATCAACATCTGCATTTCTGACACTAAACTTCAGGATTTACGACAAAAAAAATCTTTGAAGGTGAAAATCCAGAAGTTGTTTGGATTTCATCAATCAATGACCCAGAGAGAATTCGATAGTCAGATTCAAATATTGTATAAGTGCTGCCTCAAGAGTGTACGAGATCTACATGAGCTACATCTTCGAAGGATAACAGGAATGGAAATACTAGATGACCTGATTTCGAGAGCGAAGCCCACCTTCTTGAGTATTGCTCATGTTATCCACATCACATGGAGTATAATGAGTTGCCTGCACCACTTCCAATTGAGATTGCGAACTGTCTCTGGAGGACTAGTGGCTTGGACCAGGAGAAGAACAGCAGAACGTTGCATGGCGTCCTATTCAAAACTGATAAGGATATTCAGACCAGAAATGCATCGTATAATTTTGAATGCTATAATAACTTTCTACAGAGAAGGAAAACTATGGCAAATTGAGTTTGCTTGCACTGAACTTATTGTACAGCTGTTGGAAGTTTACAAATATGCCGAGGAGGGTATCGAAGATATGCTATATACAATTGAAACATCTACTCTGGTTAATGTTCATGAAGCGAAGTATATCGTCCAAGTATTATATGAAATTCTGAAGAAGATCAGATGGAAACGCATGTCTGAATATCTAATGAAAAAATTCTTGTCGATGTTAGAGAGCAGCATACTGCCAAAGTCCACAGACAACTATAACTATTCGCCATTGAGAAAAGGACTCGAGATCTGTTTGATAAATACGATTGGAAACTTATACACCAGAGATCTGATAAAATTGCTGTATTTAATACTGAAGAAAATGAATGCAAAACAAATTGATGAAGAGACTCTGCTGTGTTTTGGAAATGTCGCAGTGTATGCTGCTAAGAAATACAGGATCAAGTCCTTGCGAGCAACGATCCTGAAAGGTCCCTTACCACTTATATTCAACCTATTCAAGGCTAAGAATTCTCTCCTCATGCTCTTGGCGACAAGAATCTGGCAGAATTTGATAGATCGGAATAACAACGCCATAATATTCCTGACACCAAAGATTTTCTTCCAAGATTGCAATTATGCTCTGAATATTAAGAAATGTTTGGAAGAAGACAAAGCATTCTTCAAATCCGTACGACATCTCGTATATCAGATCTCCTTGAACAATTTCTTCAACGCCCAAAATAGAATGGGTATCGAAAACTCCTTTCAAGCTGTAGCGTTGACACTTGTTGAGATACCATGTGGATATACAGCTTCATGCTTCATCACAGTAGCAATGACTTTGCAGGAATATGCTTTCAGTATTACCAAAGACGATTTGGTTAGGTCTCATCATCTTCATGCAACGATTCTGTCACTCTTGACGCTGATATGTTATATCCATAATGCTGTAGTGTTTTATGATTATGTGAATACCGTTATGGAAAGAAGAGCAGAATGGGCCCCTCATCTTAATCCACCCTTGAAAACTCATTATGAATATGCGCAACATCACATTCTGTGGAATAAACCAGAGTTATTTTTTGAAGACTGGGAAGCTAGTTATGGTCTGTGGAAGTGCTTTAGAGTGAAGAAGAAACCAATTCAGTTGGAAAGACCAGAATAAAATGAATACATTCTGATGATTACAATATAATGGGATATGTTGTGATGGGGATTAATACTGAGAACAATAATTAACTGTAGACAATAAATAATTCAGACAGAAAAAAAAAAGACCATTAATTTTAAGAAATTAGGAATAACATTTTCATTGCAACCGTTAATATTTGTTGAAGTTTAAAAAGTCCAATATACAGGGTGTAACTGAATAAGTGTAAAACATTTGAGGGGCTGATTCCTCATCGAAAAAAAGATGGGATTTTTCATGTAAAGCAACTTCATTGGAGCATTCCATGTTGAGATACAGTCCCTTGAAGGGGGTACATAAAATTTGTTCTAAAATTTTTTTCACAAGCACTAAAAAAGTTACAGTATTGAAATTAACCTGACATTTTCTACTACCAAAAAGACACTTAGCCACTAATTTATTTGGTTCACCCCATAGTTGTAAGGGGTGGAAAACTCAACCCCTAAATTTTATTTCCAATGTAACTTTTTGTCTTATTATTTGTTTACCATTTAAAAATTTATTTCCGATAGCCAATTTCATGCTAAATAAAAAATGTCCCTTGAGTTTTTTGCCCAAAATGAACCAGTTGGCAGCAAAAAAATATGTTGAGATCAACTACGTGATACATCATTGTCATTTTGTAGTTACTATCTGCGTTAAATAATTAAAGGGATTAAACCATGGGGTAAATCAAATAAATTACTGGCTAAGTGTCTTTTTGGTAGCAGAAAATGTCAGGTCAATTTGAATTCAGTAACTTTTTTAGTGCTTGTGAAAAAAATCTTTATGTACCCCCTTCAAGGGGCTGTATCTTGACATGGGATGCTCCAACGAAGTTTCTTTATAAGGAAGATTTTATCTCTTTTTCGATGAGGAATCACCCCCTTGAATGTTTTACACTTATTTAGTTACACCCTGTATATAACCAACATATTTTGTTAGTGTCTCTTACGGGGTGTGTCAAAGATCTTCATGTTTCTATACTTTACGCTCGCACTTTAAATGTAACTAACATTCAATGACAAAATACAGGGGGTCCTACTCTAATGAGAATAATATTTTCCAGGTGAATTCGACATTCCACTATTTCATCTCTCATTTCGTTATCGATGAAAATTTTTACGCGAAATTAGAGGTTCGGATAGTACTTGATGAAATCTTCAAAATGAGGTATCTCAACACTTCTCATCCATATTCAAAATCTGGGGGATATGCTTCCCCATGGTAGGGGGTTGAGATTACAGGGATGAAGCAAGCCGACAAATCATTCTCCCTCAAATCAGAAATGGAGGGGCCGAGCGGTTCTCCGGATTTTTATTTCAAAGCCCTAAAATCGAGGCATAAAGTTTTCGTCAGACCAACCTAATGTAGATTTTGCTTAATTCAACAGAAGAAAAAATTTTTTTGCCTTTCATTTTCGTATAAGAGTACATGGCGTCTCCCTGAGTGGAATCAGAAATGGACAGGTCCGAGCGTTTTTCCGGATTTTCATTCCAAAACCCGTAAAATTTTCGTTGGACTATATGTAGATTTTCTTTGATTCAACAAAAGAAAAAATGGATATATATTTTTCCTTTCATTTTCGAATGAGAGTACATCGTGTCTCGGAAAATTTATCATCAACGCTTTTTCCAAACTCTTTGCTTCCAATCTATTACCATTAAATTTTGAATTCCAAGATAAATCATGCTCATAAAAATGGAAACATTACTTCTGATATGAGTGATATCAGTGTCGGGTTTATGAAAAAATAAGATAGATCATGTTTGTTTTCAGCTCAACCCATTGTCAAATCTAAGAACTTGATGAGATAAATGCAGCACGTTTTTCCCCCAAAAAAAATTGAGTCAATGCCCAATGAGTTTGTACACACTAGTCGAATTTACATCACATACCTATTTTATATTGATCAGTCTCGGTATTAATAGTATTTGATGCAATAATTGGTTATTTAAAAGGAAGAAAGAGCATAACCACATATTCAGACGCTGCCAAATTCAATACTAGTATTCACCTTATGAGATTCAATGTGACCAATGACAACAGTATTCATATTCACAGAAGAAAATGGTTCCACCTGATCCCTAATAATATTGAAAACTATTAAGGATTTATTATTTATTCAAGGATATCCTATTATTCCAATTAATGATTGCTATTGTATTTAAACCCAAATGGGAATCTGGCAACAGCATAATGCTTACGAGTTCACAGAAATATCAAGAGAAGAAAATAACTAACCTAGCTTTCTAACATCATCCTCATCTGTCACTTTCATCTTCAAAACCTATCATCTAGTAAAATCCAGGATCAAACGGTCAAATATAACAAATAATCCTCATATTATCTGACTCTTCAGTTGTCTGTTGTGTTCTGTTATCTGCAGTAAGTATTCAGTTAAGAAAAATCGTTTCATGTTTTGATAAAAATGCACTTGTCTCACATAAATAACTCCAACCTAACTTTCTAACGTCATCCTCGTCTGTTACCTTCATCATCAAAACCTATCATCTAGTAAAATCCAGAGTCAATCAGTCAAATCTAACAAATAATATTATCATATTATCTGATTCTTCAGTTATCTGCTGTGTTCTCTGTTATCTGCAGTAAGTATTCAGTCCAGAAAATTTCTTTCATATTTTGATAGAAATGACAATCAGAAATATTCTTGCACTTGTCTTACAGAAATAGAAAATGTTATAAAATATCATGAGTATCAATGATTATTTGAAAAATTTACAGACTCAAAGGGAAAAAACAGTTCGTGACAGTAGACTAGTTAGGGTTTGTACTTCAAAATAATTAATACAATTAAAATAATTAATACAATTTTTTCACTGGAACAGATTCACGTGTTTGCCTGTGAACTGTCATATGTGTAACACGAAATGTCAGTTAATCTTGTATTTACCTGTAATTCTGCCAATTTTTTCCCGACCGAATTTTTCAATGTCTTGTGGAACTGAGACACCTTGTGTGATTGTTGGTTGCCCAGTTTGGATATTTTAGTGTCTTTCACTCCTGCATAACGTGTCTGAATGCTGCCTAACTTAGCGGCCAACTAAAAGAAAAATAAAACACACAATTGAAATGACGGTGTGCTAAGATAATGTTTACTTTCTTTCAAAACTCAAGCAAAATTTCAAACGATCATTTCAATTCTGTATGTTGATTTTTCTTTTGGTTAGTTCTAGGATATTTGCTTGGCGCAAGTACTGAAAGACAGTAAAATTACCATAGCACCAATTTCTCACAATAATAAAACAGCTTATTAGCGATAGAAAATAAGCGTACGCCACCTATCGGAGTTCTTGAGAGCTGTCAAAGCGGCTTGTTTACTTTGTTTTCATTGATTCACATTTGTTATTGTTTGTGCTTATTGGTCACATCATCAAAACAAACCGCTCAGAAGTGTTCAAGTTGTTGCCGTCAGGTAGGGCGATGTGTTATTTTCTATGGCAAATAGAGGAACAATAGAAACTCAATGGGGGAGACCACTGATTTTTTAAAATGACATTATCGTGAACTCTATACTGAAAAACTACCAGCGAATTAATTTTGAATTTTGTCATTCATGCTAAGACGATGGAAAAAATAAATTAGAATATGTCCATTTCAAAACACACAATTCCTGCGCCATTTGAAATGTCGTCAATTCATTGGTGTGACTGGTGCGACGTCTTATTCCCAACACGCCTATTGTCCTTGAACTGACCAATCACACTGCAACACTGCAGAATGACGAGGTATCAGAGAGATATAGCTACAGCTCGGGACTAATACGTCACGACTCCACCATCATATTTGGCTATTTGAAATATCGAATGAAATATGCTGATTTCAAAACGATATAGATTCGATTCCCATCAACTTTAACTCATAATATTGATTGAACATCAAACGTAAATCATGATTCGTCGATTGAAAGAGGTTTGCACGGATTTCTTCTCTCAGTGGTCTTCCCCATTGCTGTGAAATTTTTGCCCTCTTGACAGCGACGAAAAAGGTGGAAAAAGGTGCATCTTTTTCATTGCTTCTACAAAACGCCTGTTCCTCAAAATTGAATTTTGCGCGAGAAACTGGCAGTGTAAGATATCCGGGTTATTTTTTTCTCTATCATCTGTCATTGTAATAAGATGCATCACATTTTATTCCACCTAATTTTGAAACTAGTCAAATATTAAATGCCGAATATGCCTTCTCAACATACAGGGCACTATGAAAATTTGAGGAAACATGTCAATTTATATATCAAGAGATACAACTTTTGAAGTATTTGTTGTTATATTATATTTGACCCCTATAGCCGCTGGGCACCTCCCACTAAAATTTCAAACAGCAACCTCCACTTATTTTGTAATTTTTTTATATTTTATATGAGTTACATCTATTTTTATTGGCAGTACTTAACTCACGAATTTTTGGATTGTAATTTAAAGTAGTGACTTTCAGACCAAACTTGTTTTGTAAGCACAAGTACAGCCGACATTCAAGGATTGAGGATTTCTTAGCTGTGTGCATCTGTAGCTATACAAATGATTGTACAGTGTGTACAAAATAGAATATTCAAATATACTAGCCAAAGAATTTGATTGTTTAATAGTAGATTGTTTTATTAGGATCAAAAGTGACACTTTGTTTGACAAGCGAATTTTGCATTTGCGAGGCGGAGCGTTTAGCGAAGCCGAGCGAAAGCAAAATTTGCGAGTCGAACAAAGTCACTTTTGATCCGAATGAAACATGCTATTTTTTCTGCAACCGAAACAATTAACTCAAATAAACATATGTGAAGTAACCACCAATGCCGTGCCATATGTATGCAATGCAACAAATATTGACGAATAATCCATGTGGTGAGAATATTCTACCTGCATTAACAGCAGGTTAGGTTTTCTAGGATGTTCGAATTGTAGTTTCAATATGAATACAACCACAGAGTGACATATTTGTGTATGGACCAAGTGATCTAATGGCAAATACCGTGCCAGTGCCAGCTATAGGAACGTGGAAAATGTTAGGTTAGTGAGCATATCAACAATGATACTAGTGATTATTTATTCCTCTCCATACTACACTGTGTTTGACTTGATGATCAA